GCTTGTCACGCTGGCTTCACCCAGCTCCAATCAAATAACACACTTAATCCCACGTCATCACTTGTCCATTCTCATGGCTCACCTGGTACAGTGGACGAGAGACATATCCACTTCGCAGACACCACAGCCTCGGTGCCATCACACAAACACCCGCGACAGGTCGCCCTCGCATGCCCTCGACCGATCAGCGTGGCGAAGCCCGAATCCGATTCTCACGACCAATAAAACGCATCGCCACCGCACGAACAACCCATTCGGCGTGCCGAAGCTCTGACGCGTTCTTTTGACGACGCGTCACTTCCACCGTCCAAGCTCTCTATTTCGGACCATGTCCACGCCACGCCGCCGTCCCGCCCTCCCCCCTTGCCGGTGGCCTAGCTGAAACGACTGCTGCCCGACATGGTCTTGCCGAAACTGATGAAAATGCTGGTGCGGTCGGTGAACTTGCCCCAGGAGCCGAACGGCACCACCACGCAGGAGATGTTGTCGTCAGACGAGTACGACAGCGCCTGCGGTGGACGACCGCCCAACTGTTAATTCAGTCTCAGCTCATAGACGACACCACGCGCGGCATGGCCTGTACCGGCGCACCAGGGTCCGGCTCCAATGGTAAAACATCAGTAGCGCGACAAGCCTAAAGATCGCCTTGATCGAGAGCGCAGACGCGGCTGCCACGACTGCAACAGCTTTCTGACTTCTTTCGTCTCTTACACAATACTTTACGTAGAACCTAGATTTCAATGGTGATGACCTCAACAGACATGACAGCGCTTTAGATGCCAGCAACACTTCGTCCATCTCTTGAATCCCATCTGCTTTCTCTCCGTCAAGGTCTCACCTCTCCCGGCCACCCACCAAACGTTAGTTCATGACTCGCCAACAGATGGCATCAACCATTCACACCATGGTTTTGATCGCGTTCTGGCCGCCTTATCATCGCGCCCGCTTTTCGGCAAGCCCGATGTCGCCCTCCACTCTCACTTTCTGTGCAAACCAGCGCACGGCCCCGGTGAGTTATCGTACCTCCGCTCTCACCTACAGTGAGACAGCCTACCACCATCTCACCTCACTCTCACCTTCTCGGTGAGCTAGCCCAGCGCCGCCAGTCTCCTCTCACCTGGTCGGTGAGCAGCGCCGCGCCCTCGGACGGCGTGCGGCTGGCGTTGATGACGTCACAGATCTCCTGGTCCGTCATCACGTGGTTGATGCCGTCAGAGGTCAGCACCAGGAATACATCGCGACCGTGTTTGACCTGAGGTCACGGGACACGACGTCAGGGGCGTCATAAGCGCTGCAGGTGCGTGAGCAGGACTTGCTTGGGGAGGTGGAGGGGAAGTCACCATCACCACATTATCATCATTGTACAACACAAACATACAGGATAGTCACAATATACCCACAAGCATACAACTTGCACGTAAAAAGGTCTCCCAGCATTTGCACAGACACTAGATGACTTAGGAGACCATGACTTAAAATAACCGATCTTGATCGACTGTCCCTGACTTTCAGTGAGACTTCGTACGACCGTGACTCTGAAATGTCTCTGAAATAGCTGAGTGAACTGTAATGACAATCAAATAACTTGGCTGAATTCTAATTGTCTTCAAAGCCGTGTGTGACCGCCTATGCAAAAAACTTCATAGTGCCGCTTGTGACCTCCAGTGACCCTCCAAATGGTCAGTAAGCCTTCGCTATCCATCAGTGATTCTCTAGCCTGCGGTAGGCTCCGCCGCCGTCCAGCGCCCGCGCCTGACCTCCATTGACCCTATCTGACTTTCGCCATCAGTGACTGACCTCCCGTGACCTTGGACCACTGACCTCGAGTGAGCGCGTGTCGGGGAAGGCGGTGACGCCGGCCCGCTTCAGGTGGAGGTCACCGATGCTGCGGGTCATGGCCAACCGGCCGTTCACCATGTGACGCCCCAGCTCGTCCACCACCACCGAGCCGCCAGACTGCTCCACACGCCGCTGTCAACCAGGCAACCGTCATCATGTGACGCCCCAGCTCGTCCACCACCACCGAGCCGCCAGACTGCTCCAACCGCCGCTGTCAACCAGACAACCGTCATCATGTGACGCCCCAACTCGTCCACCACCACCGAGTCGCCAGACTGCTCCACCCCGCCTGTCAACCAGCAACCGTCATCATGTGACGCCCCAGCTCGTCCACCACCACCGAGCGCCAGACTGCTCCACCGCCGCTGTCACCACGCAACCGTCATCATGTGACGCCCCAGCTCGTCCACCACCACCGAGCCGCCAGACTGCTCCACCCCGCTGTCAACCAGACAACAACCGTCATCATGTGACGCCCCAGCTCGTCCACCACCACCGAGCCCAGACTGCTCCACCCGCGCTGTCAACCACGCAACCGTCATCGTGACGCCCCAACTCGTCCACCACCACCAGCCGCCAGACTGCTCCAACCGCCGCTGTCAACCAGACAACCGTCATCATGTGACGCCCCAATCGTCCCCACCACCAAGCCCAGACTGCTCCACCCGCCCTGTCAACCAACAACCGTCATCGTGACGCCCAAAATCCACCACCACCGAGTCGCCAGATGCTCCAACCGCCGCTGTCAACAGACAACCGTCATCATGTGACGCCCCAACTCGTCCACCACCACCGAGTCGCCAGACTGCTCCACCCACCAATGTCACCAGACAACCGTCATCATGTGACGCCCCAACACATCCACCACCACCGAGTCGCCAGACTGCTCCATCCGCCGCTGTCAACCAACAACCGTCAGTCACCACCACCGAGCCGCCAGACTGCTGCTCACCCACCCGTGTCATCCAGACTACCATGACGCCTAGTTCACTGACAGATGTAAGCTCGCTAAGCCACCGGCAGCTGTCAACAGCCAGACCGCCCTCACCAGACAGTATGAGCATTAAAAAAGTGAGACACTGCAGCTGCTCGCCTCAAACTGCGACGTCGCTGGGAGGATTTGTCGCCAAAGTTCACTAATAACAATGCACCGACATTGGCATTGGCCGTTTCCACAAATGTTGTGACGGCTGATCGCAGCCAGTCAGACAGTTACAGTCACAGTCACAGGCTGATCAGACCAGGATCACACACCGTCTAAACCACCGAAATAGCCATGGACAGTTTGCACGTAGACGGCGTGGCCCAGATAGACTGCCACTGGCGGCCACAGTTGGCCCATGCGCTGCATTCCTATCTCATCAAGAAGCTCGCAGAAGTGGGAAAAGTGCTGCAACGGGAAACTGGGTGTTTCGCGCGGGGCGAAACGAGAGTGTAAGTAAGCCAACTCATACACACCGAGCGAAGGTGTAAAACGCCTTTCGCTGCCCGCGTGTCCTCAAGTTGGCTTCTGGCCAGTATTTGAAAGAGTGTACACTTCATTAGATCACTGATCGGTGTTAATGGGTCCATACATCGCTGAACACATGATTGATTACACGACAGTGTTCGTGCGCACAGACAAAAAAATCCAGTGAAAGAAAAACGTGTTTCCGCCCGGTTCGAACCGGGGCCTTCCGCGTGTGAAGCGGACGTGATAACCACTACACTACGGAACAACTGCCCTCTGCCCGCAAAAACCGAATAAGACACACCTGGGTTACAGTACTTCACACCCCACTCACCACGCAAAGCGTACAGAAGGCAGTGCAACCACGATCCTTCTATGACTGTGTCGAAAGATCCAAAAAAGCTCCAATTTATTATGAAAATTTTGGGGTGAGGGTGGGAGGTAAGGCCAAACTTTGGGCCCCCCACCTTCCTAATTTTTAAAAAAAAAAAACACAGAGCATACACAACTCCTGCTCTAGCAATGCCGCCTCCAGCCGACAGCAAGCATGGCCAATCACGCTGATTGGGCAACTGGGTCGCGTCACCGCCTTACCCTGCGCGCATGCGTTCCCCGATAAATGAATACGCGTGTCCGGGGACAGGCAGCGCTGCGTCGGCTATCGTATTTGTGTACCTCATGAAAACAGTGCCGCATCGTTGCCGGGATGCGGAGTAACAATCATCCAAATAATCACGCAAGTTCTATTCTGTCTGGCATCCTAAATTCTAATTTTTAGCAAAAGTCAAAATCGAGGTATTCAAGTCTGATGCTTTTAAATTTGTTGTTCATTATTTCACTTCACACACGGCAGTTTTTCACACGGGAAGAAGCAAAATACGTCGGTCTCGTGGC